GTGGTTAAGAACACTGACTGCTCTTCCAGAGGACTTGGGTTCAATTCCCAGCATCCATATGGCAGCTAACAACTGTCTGTAACTCCAAGATCTGACACCCTAACCCAGGCATACATGCAGACAAAACACCAATGCACATAAAAATAAAATCAATTAATTAAAAAAAAAGTAGAACTGTGTTGTAAGTTGTGTGTACTTCCTTAGTCACACGGTTGCTCTAGATCAGCAGATGTACGTGGGTGAATGTCAGAGAATAATGCCTCGTGAAATGTTGTCAGGAAATTGCTCAATCTTTTTTTTAATGATTTAATTTATTGATTTATTTATTTTTAATGCGAATTGTTTTGCTTGAATGTATGTCTGTGTGAGGGAGGGTGTCAGATTCCCTGGAACTGGAGTCAGTTTGTAAACTGCCATGTGGGTGCTGGGAATTGAACCAGGGTCTTCTGGAAAAGCAACCAGTGCTCTTAACCTCCGAGCCGTCTCTCCAGCCCCAAATTACTCAATCTTGATAGGTTATCGTACTCGAGATTATGATAATATTTAAGCAGCTTTGGAAATCAATACATTTCTAGCTGGGTGTGATGGGATGTGCCTTTAATTCCAGCATTTGGGAGGCAGAGGTAGACAGATCTGTGTGAGAGGTCCAGCCTAGTCTATATAGTGAGTTAATAAATTTACAAAGTATGTTGAGTTTTGGTTGACTTTTATATCTTTTTATAAATTCCATTTTGTTTTTAGTTTCCTCAAAGGTGATGGTTTTAAAAAAATCTTTCCTGTTGGTGTAGACAATTTTGATTTAATCGAGAAGGTGAATTAGATGAGCCGTAAGACTCATTAAAATACCGAGAAGCTTGGTGGTAATGCTTGCTTTGTTTTAGTCTCAGACCTTCGTTATTTGTAGATTAATGGCTCCATGAAAGGAAGTAAACATCTCATTTCCTATCTGCTGGTGTTGGATTATCTCCGCCCTCTGTGTTTTAGTGTTTATGTAGTTAGTGTGCGAGTCTGTGTGTGTACGCCCCAGGGCACTCAAGTGAAGATAAGAGGATGTCTTGCTGGAGTCAGTTCTTCCCTTCCATCAGGTGGTTGTCAGGCTTGGTGACAAGTGCCTTTACCTACTGAGCAACTCTCTGGCACATTTTCAGTTTTGTTTTTTTAAAGTAAACACATTCACAGTGTCTTTGTAAGCAAAAACATTAGTTCTTAAACTTTTGCTGACATGCCTTCCTTCTTGGGAACGGGAAGAGGCAATTGGGAGCATCGTTTAGGACTCAGGTTTTTAGTGCACCTGCCTCCTGAAATTCACCATGTCTTGGGAACTGGCTATAGTAAGATAGGGACTTCCCAAGGGAGCTGATGTTTGGAAGGCATGGCCTATAAAAGATCCCTTTATTTGTATGTTTCTGGTCCTAAATGTAGTGTAAGCAGTGAACTAGCTGGGCGAAAGAGGAGAGCAGATGCTGGGACCATGGAGCCTAAAGTCTTGATCCAGAGAGACCAGATGGCCTCCATAAACGGCTTAGGAGTAGGAATGCAGCTGTCATCCCCTTCCTTAATTGATGTTGTCTCCCACAGTCAGAGAGCTCTAGGAAATAATCTTGCAAGGAGAGAGGAGCAGGGGCTGAAGCAAGAGACTGTCAGGAGGAATGAGCCGCTCTAGCCTGGCAGCTCTTTGTACCTTGACATTCCGTAGAGACACTTCTCCTTAGGAATCGGTATTTTTAAGTGGTTTTAAAACAGGAATGTGATGGTTAGTTTCTATCTGGATTCCTTTGCTGTTGCTGTGATAAAATACTCTTGACAAAAGCAGCTGCAGGGTGATTGCGTTTATTCTTGGCTCACAGTCCATTGTAGTGGGGAAGTTGTGGCCGCAGAAGCTTGAGGCTGTAGTCACATGGCATCTAAAGTCAAAGTGCAGAAAGTAATGAATGCTTATGCTTCACTCTCTCCTTCTCTCTCTCTCTCCTTCTCTCTCTCTCTCCTTCTCTCTCTCTCACACACACACACAATTACATGTGTAGGGGTATACATACGCACACACACACAGACACACACACAATTACATGTATAGGGGTATATATACACACACACACACATACAGACCAGGATCCTAGCTTAGGAAATGGTGCCATCCACAGTGGGTGTGCCTTTCCACTTCAATAATCAGATCAAGATAATCTATGGTCATAACTAGAGGCTTACGCCCCAGGTGATTTTATGTCTCATCAGATTGACAGTTGAAATTAACCATCATAACATTGGGTTGTCAACTTGACAGTATGCGGACTACCTTGGAGATGAAACTCTGAGCATTTCCTGCGAGGGACTGGATTATATAGATTAGACCACCCTTAACTGTGGGGCACCATCCCCTGGTCTAGGGTTCTGGACTGAGAGAAAACATGAGCCGAGTTCTGGCACTCATCTCTGTGTTCTCTGACTGTGGATGTAGTGTAACCAGCCAGCTGCTGCATGATCTCCCTGTGAACTAACTACCTTTATAGTGCTTTTGTCAGTAGGGGAAGTGATAGAAGAGGGCTTTTATTATATTTGTACTGGCTGGTTTTATGTCAACTTGATGCAAACTAGAGTTTGTATCAGAGAGGAAAGGAGCCTCAATTGAGAAAATGCCTCCGTAAGATCCAGCTGTAAGGCATTTTCTTAACTAGTGATCAATTGGGGGAGTGCCCAGCCCGTTGTGGGTGGTGCCATCCTTGGGCTGATGGTCCTGGGTTCTATAAGAAAGCAGGCTGAGCAAGCCAGTAAGCAGCACTCCTCCATTGCTTTTGCACCAACTCCTGCCTCCAGGATCCACCCTCCTTGAGTTCTTTTCCTGACTTCCTTTGGCGATGACAGCAATGTGGAAGTGTAAGCTGAATAAATTTCCTCTCCAACTTGCTTTTAGTTATGGTGTTTCGTTGCAGCAATATAGACCCTAAGACATCACTGTTATCATCATTGTTAGTATTATGATTGCGTGTGCAGGAGTGCGTGTGCCAAGGTGAATGTGTGGAGGTCATAGGACAACCTTCCTGCTTCAGTTCTTGCTTTCATCTTGTTGATGAAGACTCTTGCTGTTTCTGCTGTGTGCTCTAGTTGGCCTGCAAGCTTCCAGGTGCTTTTCTTGTCTCCACCTTGTCTTACAGTAGTGCTGGCTTTACAAACATGCATGCCACTGAGTCCTGGGGATTGATCAAGATCTGCTGAGTCATCCTAACAGCCTTCAGTCTCCCTCCATTGGCCTCTAGATGGGAGGCCCTGACCTTCCACATTGACCTTTTCAACCAGAACAGAGAGGGATTGGTTTTTGTTGTTGTTTTAAATCAGTGTTGAATAAAAAGGTTTTTTTTTTCTTTATGTCAAGTTCATTTAAAAAACATTGCCAGTCACAGTTCCAGATTCTTTGGACGAGAAATGTTGGAAGACTTTAACATTCATTCGTTGTATTTTTATACTTTCTGTTCTAAGCTCTGAGGAGGCCATAGTGAAGTAGAGCCTTCCACTACTTAGCAGGAAAGACAAGGGCTAAACAGGTACTGTAGGTACAGTGTCATGACATCACATAGCAAGAGACTAAAGCTGGTCCCAAGGGCAGTGGTTTCTCAACATGACTGGCCATTAGGATCATCGGAAGAGGATTCCTAGTCGCTGTCTTATTTCAGACACTTTCATTTGCCCAGATGAGAATCTCTGGTCCCTCTGGGAAGGACAGGTAAGTATCAAGTGGACCTTTCTGAAGAAATTGCTTGAAGGTCAGGCATGGCAATACACACCTTTAATCCCAGTGCTCAGGAGGCAGAGGCAAGTGGATCTCTCTGTGAGTTCCAGGCCAGCCAAGGCTGCATAGTGAGACCCTGTCTCAATAAAGCAAAACCAAAGTGAAATAAGACAATAATAAAAGGCATTGCTTATGTGTGGGAGCCAGTCTAGATGTCTAGATGGTGACAGGTGCCAGAACAGCTTTTTCTTTTTTTAAAGATTTATTTATTATGTATACAATATTCTGCCTCCAGATATGCCCGCACCAGACCCCATTACAGATGGTTGTGAGCCAACATGTGGTTGTTGGGAATTGAACTCAGGATCTCTGGAAGAGCAGCCAGTGCTCTTAACCACTGAGCCATCTCTCCAGCCCCAGCTTTTTTTTTTTTTTTTTCACTTTAAAAGACCAGGCTGGCCTCTGAACTCTGCTAGCCTCTGCTTCCCAAGTCCTGGGATTAAAGGCCAGAACAGCTTTGCAAATGGAAGAAACAATAAGTAAGGAGGCCTGGAATAGAGAAAAGGTAGGGTGTATCTGAGAAATGAACAAAGTTGAGTGTCTAGAATTTGGAGGGAGAGGTTGTGTCAAACATGTATGTTTGTTTCTACCAAAGATGTTTTCATAACTCTAAGCTCCTCGATGCCCTAGAATTTTATAATTGTAGTCGCACTTCTATTTCCTAGTATTTGATAAAGTGGATGAACTCGCTTTAGAGTAGTAGATGGAAAAGAATATTAACAATTATGAAGTAGACAGTTTTTGTTGTTTGAAACAGTCTTGCTGTGTGGCCCAGGCTGGCCTCAAACTTGAAATCTTCCTGTCTTGACCTCCTGCATTCAGGGGTTACACGTGTGTGCTATCAATCCTGGCTAGAAACTTTTTTAACCTACATTAAAAAAAACCCTAGACCCAGGCAACATTGTATGAAAAGCAGCACCAGATTGATCTGGTTTTGTGCGTGGGAGTTGCTTCCCCGTTAGCCTGTGTCTCCCACACTCTAACCTACCTTTCTCTGCCTGTTCCTACCCATCTGGAGAGCTACCTGCTTTTTGTTTTTAAGCTTCCTGATTTTCTTTCAAGGGAAAGTAGGTAGATACCTGACCTCTGTTTTCTTCTGTCTGCTTTCTGTAGACTGGGGTGTCCTTGAACTCACAAAGATTCACCTGCCTCTACCACCTGAGAACTGGGATTAAAGGCTTGCGCCACCACACCTGGCTAGAAAGGTTTTTGTCAGCCTGTGCCAATCACTTGGACAAGTATGTTTTAAATATCTCCATTTTATGCATTTTCTTTTAGCTGTTAAACGATTGATGAAAGAAGCGGCCGAATTGAAAGATCCCACAGATCATTACCACGCTCAGCCTCTGGAGGTTGGTTTCTGTTTCTGTCCTGAGGACTGCAGGACTTCAGTGTCCATTGCTCTGAGTGCTGATGTGTTTCGAGGTTCTCATTGATGTACTTTATTCTGTTTCATGAGTGTTTTATTAGCCTTTTGTCTGGCTCCTTTGGCAACGCAACTTAGGGATTCTGTCTGAATGAGGTTCAGATGTTAACCTGGTGTTCAGTTTGGAGGGAGGGAGGGGCAGTAAAAACTCCACACACTGCACTTTCAGGAAGACTCAGACCCTTGTGGGGTCTCTGCAGCACCTGACATAAGCATCTCTTCCTGCTCTGTCTGGAAGGAGGGTGCTGACTGTGCATAGTTGGGTTTTCATGGTAATAGAGAAGAGATAGTTTGTGTAAGAACTTAGTAATGTACAATGACATGTAGCTAGTCTGTTAATATTACTAGTCAGTTATACATAATGAAGAATACTTTTTAAAGATTTATTAAGACAACTTAAATATATATATACTAATGATTTGACTATTTCCACTAATTGATTTTTTTGAGGCATTAATTTCCAGCTTAATTAAATGAATCTTATTTATGAATATATAATTTTTAAATTTAAATTTTAGACCAAATTAAATATTTGGTTAAAAGAGATTTCATCTTTTATGAAACATAAAATTTATGTTAAATAACACCTTTTAGATTTATGACTTTTGAGGCACCTTGAGCGTTAGAGGCTCAATTATAGCACTATTAGGAAGCATTTGATTTCCCTTGCTTGACATTTTTAAAATGTTACTCTTAATAAAAATGATAAAATATTTTAATATTCTTGATCCTGTGGATTCTTGTTTTTGCTTAGGATAACCTTTTTGAATGGCACTTCACAGTTAGAGGGCCCCCAGATTCTGATTTTGATGGAGGAGTTTATCATGGACGCATAGTTCTGCCACCAGAGTACCCCATGAAACCACCAAGCATTATTCTGCTAACGGTAAGAGTTCTTGGCATTTTACAATGCTTGTGGGTAACTTCTCCAGTTATCTGCAAATGTAGTCAGTATATTTATAAGAAATGAAGTAGAATATTCTAATTTACCTTCAGCACCTAGGCCATAAGAGTACAATAATTTCTCCTCGGATTAATCCCGAGGAAGCTGTTGTATCTGTGAAGCACTGCTGATACTGGTGAATGCATAATGTCATAGCGCAGTTGTTAGGACTCCGTGACGTGCCGCCTGGACTTGGTGATGCCGAGTGCAGATTGCGTCAGCTCCAGTTTCCCATCCGTCTCACACCATTTTCATGAGTTTCCCCATATTTGCAGTGAGCTGTAATGGCCATCTCACTGAATTGACGTGGAGAGGAAAGATTGGGATCTGTGATAGCTCTTAGAATAGGGCCTGCCACAGACACCTTAATAAATGCTGTTTATTTCTGTTTGTGTCTCAGAATTTCTACCTTTCTGTCTTCTTTTCATGTGAAAGAAGAACATTGGTATATTAACTCTCTGGATTGCTAAACTGTCCCATCCTCACTTAGGTTTAATTCTTTCCTAACCATGAAAAATGCAACACGCACACACACACATACATCCATACACGCACAGACCTTTTTGTTGCCTTGTTTTCTCTTTGATGACCTTGCTCTTGTGTAGACTATTGAGTCGTTTCACAGATGTTGTCTGTTGAAACTTGCTTTTTCTGCTTACCTAAGAACGGCCACAGCTTCAGTCTGCATCCTGTTCATCGAGTCTCCTCTGACACAGGTGTTAGCTCCAGCTGCGCTCTGGAGAGTGCAGAAGGTGCTTGTTTTAGGGTCAGCTGGCCAGGACCCTGAGCAGTGCTCTTTCCATTCCCGCCTGGAGGCTCTTGATTATCTTTGTTTCTGTCTGATGGAATGTTGTTTGTGGCAAGTACAGCCACATCCTAAAGTTCCAGACATCTAGAAGCTGCTCAGCAAGCACTGGCTGATACTGCTACCTGTTGATGTTGGTATGAAGGCTGGGGCAGCTCTTTAGGCTCCCATGTCAGGACTTATTTCAGTTAACTGGGAGAAATAAGTAGTCTGCTGTAGCGTGAATAATAAAAACCCAGAGACAGGTACTGGAATTCAACCTGAAGATCAGAGAAGCAAAGCAGCCAAGCCACTAGAGAGCTCTTATCTCTATGAAATCTCCAGACTGACAGAGAGCAAGCTCCTGTCTCATCCCGCCTTATATTCCTCACTAGTGCTGGGACTAAAGACTTGTACACCACTGCCTGGCCTCTGTGACTAATTAGTGTGGCTGCTGGGATTAAAGGTGTGTGCTACCGAGTGCCTGGCCAGTGTATGGCTGACCAGTGTGGCTGTTTTGCCTTCTGATCTTCAGGCAAGCTTTACTTATTAAAATACAAATGAAATATCACTACAGCCTGGAGAAAAGAGCTGGTGTATGTGAGATGTGAGAGGGTGTTGTATGTGTGTGTGTGTGTGAGAGAGAGAGAGAGAGAGAGAGAGAGAGAGAGAGAGAGAGAGAGAGAGAGACTACAGCTTGGAGAAAGGGGCTGGTGTGTGTGTGTGTGTGTGTGAGAGAGAGAAACAGAGACAGAGACTGACTATAGCTTGGAGAAAGGGGCTGGTGTATATGAGGGTGTGTGTGTGTGTGTGTGTGTGTGTTGGGCAATAGATAACAGCTTTTTACCAGTAGTTAACCAGTGGATCAGTTGGATTTATCACACTGAAAAGGAGTCCTGTCCTCGTCAGTAGTCGGTATTGCCTTCTTGTTCACTTCCTTTCTTAAAAAAGTCACTTTCAATTTTGATTGAGCAAATGTTTACTGAACATGATCCATGATAAGGCAGGACTGAGTCAGCCTCCACCCAGCGGTGCTTCTGCCTTTTTCCCTCACCTCCTTCAACGTTGTGGCTACTTCACCTCTCAGGATTGCAGCTGCTTCATGTTCAGTGGTCACCTCTGAAAAGAGGTGTCAAGAGTCTCCATCTTTTACTGATATCAGCATGCTTCTATTTCTGCCTACCTGCTCGATGTCATTGGGAGCTTTCCTATAAACCATCAGTTCTGTGTCCAAATCAAAGTCATGGTCTCCACTCTTCATTTACCACGTTCTATCTAATTAAATGGCATTAACCTTCTGAAAAACTGCTCCTGTCTTAAAGCCTCCTCCAACATGTCGGGTGGCCTGGCCCCTATGTGTCCTCTCTTTAATCAAACCTAGATTGTAGTAGGCACAGGGCATAGCATCAGTTCCAGTTGTACTGCTCAGTCTCAGAAAGGTGCCAGTGCCCCTTCTTAAAAAAAAAAAAAAAAAAAACAACTTTATTATTTATTCAGCCTTTAACAAATGTTTTTGAATGTCTATAAGAGAACAAAAAACTGTTTATTAGAGTTAAGTTCCTTTAAATATTATCTTTAAAATTATTTATATGTAAATATGATATGTATTTGTTCCTGGAAAGCAGAAGGCATTAAATAGACTTTTGCAGTTTTTAAAATACGTTCTTTATTTCTAAGGCTAATGGGCGATTTGAAGTAGGCAAGAAGATCTGCCTAAGCATCTCAGGGCATCATCCTGAAACCTGGCAGCCTTCATGGAGCAGTGAGTATTAGTGAATATAAGCTGCTTATAATACACTTGAGAATAATGATGTTTTGGCTAATATGTGGTACCCTTGAAAAATTAACAAAAATACTTTTCCATGTCTAAGTTTGTATAGAACTTTAGTAACCTCTCACATCTCCTGAAAACCTTCAGATTTTTTTTTCAGAGTAAACCTAGTTCCCTTTAAAATTTTTATTTTGTATTTGTATGTGTGTGTGTACGTGCTTATGTTTGTGTGCAGATGTGTATGGAGGCCAACAGTTGTTGAGGGGTGTCTTCCTTAATTCTCTTCTACCCTATTTTTTGAGGCAAGGTCTCTCACTGAACCTGGAGCTTGCATATTTGTTAGACTTGCTGGCCAAGAGCCTCCTGTCTCTGCTTCCCCAGAATGGGTAGAGCATGCACTGCCCTTTTTTCTTTCTTAACAGCAAGCATACAGGGAGCATGGGTGTTGGAGACCAAGCCTGGGTCCCTGCACTTGTGCTGCTGAGCTGGCTCCTACCCCACCTCCTACCTCAACCCAGCTTCTACCCCAACCCAACATCTACCCCAACTCAGCTCCTAGCCCAAACCAGCTACTACTACAGCATCTACCCTTACCAGCTTCTACCCCAACCCAGTTTCTGCCCCAGCTCGTTTCACTGAATTGATGTTCATTTTCTGTTTCAGTAAGGACAGCATTGCTGGCCATCATTGGTTTTATGCCAACTAAAGGAGAGGGAGCCATAGGTTCTCTAGATTACACACCTGAGGAGAGAAGAGCACTTGCCAAAAAGTAAGTTCCTTGTTAGGGCCGAGTGGTATTAGTGGTTAAGGATCCAGTCTTAGCATTATAGAAATTCAGCTCTGCAAATTTCCTTGGAGTGATCAGAATATTAAAAAAAACTGATCTCATGATTTTTTTGTAGTATTTTGTATCAGTCCCAGGATTTCATTCCATGTCAGGCAGGTACTCTTCCACTAAGTTGTGTTGCCAGCCTGTTTGATTCGTTTAAAAGTAGTTGATGGGCTGGAGAGGTTTCGGTGGTTAACATTAGCTGCTCTTCCAGAGGACCCACATTATGACTCTAACAGTCTGTAATTCCAGCCCCACAGGATCCAGTTACCTCCCTTTTCTCTGTGGGCACAGGAACACATGTGCACAGACATGCATGCAGGCAGAACACCAGTACTCATAAAAATAATAATAATTAGAAAATAAAGTAGTTGGAAACATCGTACTAAGATTTGGTTCACTCCAGTGAAACAAAATTTCCTAGAAAGCGTTACTGGCCCTCTGTCCCATTTCAGTGGCATCACATGTGGGAAGAGCCACAGCCATTGTTTACATACAGCGGTCTGTAAGACCAACTCCCTGGGCTGTGAAGGAACCCGCTCAATCTTTATAGCAGCCTATGTAGCTTCAACTTATGTAGCAGATATTCAATAGATGATCTGGGATAAAATAAAGGAAATTTTTATTAGGTAGTGATATGGTGGTGATATTGCCCTCTCTTAGTTTTGTTTTTCTATATAGTCATAAAAATTTATTCAATTCAAAGTATCATTTCCTTTCTGGCTGTTCTGGAACTCACTATATAGACCAGACTGGCCTCAAACTCAGAGTTCTGAAATTAAAGGTGAATGCCACCAAGCCCAGCATAAATTATTATTATTGTTATTACTGTTAATTTTTTTCTTTTGATTGTTTACGACAGGGTTTCTTTTCTTTCTTCTTTTTTTAGATTTATTTATTAAGCATACAATGTACTGCTGGCAAGGAGGTTGTAAGCCACCATGTGGTTGCTGGGAATTGAACTCGGGACCTCTGGAAGAGCAGCCAGTGCTCTTAACCTCTGAGCCATCTCTCCAGCTCCACAACAGGGTTTCTTTATGTAGCTTTGGCTGTCTTAGAACTCTTAGACCAGGCTAGTGTTGAACTCATAGAAATTTGCCTGCCTCTGCTTCTCAAGTGCTGGAATTAAAGACTCGTGCCACCACTGCCCAGCTCATAAATTCTATTGTTAATTGACTTCTTTCCGGTTGTATGTTTTTGCTAAGAGATAATTGGAGCTTTATATTAGACCTTTTCATAGACTTTGACTAGGCTCATGGTCTGTGTTCTTCAGGGTGGTATCACAGAGCATAATAGACAGTTTACATAAATATGTTGCCACTGTAGGTCTGAAGCTTTCTTTAGATAACTTATTTTTTAAAAAATGAAGCCTAAGTTTTTTAATGAATCATTTACTTTCCTCAGAACTCAGTTGTTCCCTTGTCTCACGGCCTGGGTGACTATACTATGAAGTTGTTAAGTGCCCTTTTCTTTTAGTTATTCCATATTTTAGTGTCTTTAACATGTTTTTAAAGATTTGTTTCTTTTTGATTTATGTTTATGATGTCTTGCCTGCATGCATGTACATCTGTGCATCATGTATGTGCAGCATCTGTGAAGGCCAAAGAGGGCATTGGGTCCCCTAGAACTCTAGTTACAGATGGCTGTGAGCTGCCATATGGGTGCTGAGAATGGAACCCTGGTCTTCTGGAAGAGCACTCTAGCCGCTATTTGATTATCTTGATAAAGGGGAGTTAGTACTCAGCTGTTTGATTTATGCTCATTGAACAACATTGTTTCCTACCAGATCACAAGATTTCTGTTGTGAAGGCTGTGGCTCTGCCATGAAGGATGTCCTATTGCCTTTAAAATCTGGAAGTGATTCCAGCCAGGCTGACCAAGAAGCCAAAGAACTGGCGAGACAAATTAGTTTTAAGGTATTATAAACTCCTAAACAGATCTGTTTATGTAACCTTTTTGTTTACTGCTGAATTCTGGATAAAAAGGGAAGTAATATAGTTCTATTGACATGAGATTTTTATAAAGAGTGTTTTCTTAATACAAAACGTATAAGCTGCACTCATGCAGACTTTTGGGCATAGTTAAAGCTAGACTGGTATAGGCTGCATTCAGGTCAGCTTTGCCGTTTACTGCTGACATGCCAGACAGTGCTTTACCATCGTGTGCCCCCTTAAACCTGTAAATAATAGTAGTACCTCCTTCGGACTCTGTCAGGGTCTGTTAATCAACACGTATACCACATAGCGCTTCATAAATTCTAGTCTTTTTCTTCCCTTTCTCTTCTCTCCCTCCCTCCCTCTCTCTCTCTGTCCCTTTCTTTCTCTTACTCTTCTTTTATACATTACATCCTGACCACAGTTTTCCTTACCTCCACTCCTCTCAGTCCTTCCCCGGCCCTTGCTCTCCCCCAGATCCACTCCTCCATTTCCCTTCAGAAAAGAGAAAGGCTCTCAGGGATATCAGCTAACCATGTCATAACAAGATACAATAAGACTAGGTGTAAACCCTCATAACAAGTCTGGGCGAGGCAACCAAGTAGTAAGTCCCACGAGCAGGCATAAGAATCCGAGATACCCCTTCCCCATTCCCACTGTTGGGAGTCCCACAGGAGCACCAAGCTAAACAGCCATAATATATATGGAGAGGGCTTAGGTCAGCACCATGCAGACTCTGAGATTGTTGCTTCAGTCTCTGTGAACCCCCGTAAGTCCTGCTTAGTAGATTCTGTGGGCCATGTTCTTGTAGTGTACTCACCACTCCTACAGTCCTTCCCCTCTTCTGAGTTCCTTGAGCTCTGCCTAATGTTTGGCTGTGGGTCTCAGCATCTGCTCCCATCAGTTGCTTGAAGCTTTTCTGATGACAGTTGGGCTAGGCACCAATCTATAAGTATAGCAGAAAATCATTAGGAATCATTTCATTCATTTATCTGTCTGTCTGTTTGGCTATCTATCTATCTATCTATCTATCTATCTATCTATCTATCTATCTATCTATCTATCT